GCGTAGACCCGGTGCGCGGGGGGGGGGGGGTTTGAAACCGGCCATTTTCGAGTCTCATCTTTCGGTTACAGAAATAAGATTTGGAAATCACAGGTACCTTAAGGAAAGGGCATTTAGGCGAATTCGGGTATCTGGGAAACAACTGCTGCCAATTTATCAGCCAGCCAATCTCCATCAAATCAAAACTTTTACCTAGGGAAGGGACGCATGGCAAGTCTGTGCTAGTGTCTGTGAAAAGAGTAGAAAGCAATTTCTTTCCTTGTCTTTAAGCAACTTACTTAAACACGTGTATGATTTTCCCCTGTAGTGTACTAGACAAAGGGGAGTGACTATTGCACATCTCTACCTTGTTTACATAAAGCCACTGAGCACCACTGGTTAAACTACCCAAAAGGGAAGTTGGATGCCCCGGGTTCCTTAATCCTAGAACAATTTAACACTGCTTTTAAACAACTTAAATAAACCCAATTCCTTCTCTTGTTCCTGAAGGTCTGCTAGCAGCTGTTGCAGAATGCCTGTCTTTCACTGAACCCTACCAGGTTCCTAGATGCCTTGCTGCCTGAGGGGAGGAAGTGAATCACACCCAGGCTGACTGGAGTGTGTAACGGATACATGGACATATTGAGCCATTGAAAGCTTCTAGAATAAAACGACTTTGTAGAGTGCTGCACTCTAATTTGATCACAAGGTTTTAGAATTGCACTATTAAGAATCATTGCCTGATTTTGTGTTAATATCACTGCAACTGTGTGTGGGGTAGGGTTAGTAAAGACAGTGTTGGAGTACATGCAATGCTACCTCTTATTTGTAATTAAATTAAGTTTAGTCTTCTTAAATGTATAAGACCTTAGATTATCTCATAGCTAAGAAGATATCCATTATTGACAAATTTAGAATGTGCAGAAGACCCAATATTTCTAGGTGGTCTCACCCTTCTCTTCCCGTAAGATACATACAAGTGTCATTTGAACACACTCTCAGTATATATAACAGAAGTTGCCATCATGAATACAAAACATTCTCTCTGAAAATAAGTGCAATAGTAAAACTTTAATCTTACCTTGTAAAACTACCATCAGATGAAAATACAGCTTGACTTTTAAAATAAGAACAGACTATGATAGTTCATCTTCTTTGCTATATCAAATGAGTATCTAGCTTTTTAAAACTTCCACTAATTTATTTATTTTTTGCATCTGTTTATCCTTCTGTAGAAGAATTAGGAAACTCCTAGTTCTATTTTTTTTAAACGGTGACATCTCTTTCTGAGAAGAAAAATAAAAACAAGCATTTGTTATATTCTAGTTGCTTTTTCTTAATGTGTCATTTTGTAAACAGGTTAAGTAACCTCTCTTAATAGGTTGCAAACTCAAGACTGAATTTGATCAATAGTCAACAAAATGTGCTAATTTTCCTGAGAGTTATAACCTGATAGTATAAATGTTGTTGGGAGGGGGACAGAGAGTGTAACCTCTCAATCACTTTTATATAAGAGCAAAAAAAATTTTTTTTTTTAACTTAATCAAACCGTGTAAATTTAAAGTGCCCTACCACACATGCAAAAAAAAATTTTTTTTAACTTAATCAAACTGTGTAAATTTAAAGTGCCCTACCACACAATGAATTAGATTAGATGTTAACCAAAACCACATAAAAGTACATGAGAATCTTTCTTCTAACAGGGTGGGATTGTAAATTTTCTTTGCAAGGCCCTAGAGAATTCCTTTTAAGAAATCCCCAACCTCTTGCAAATACTTAAAACACATATTTAGCAAAGTTTTAAGCATTTGCCCATTTACTTAAATAGTGGTATTCACGTGCTTACATGTGATTGTATGTTTTCAGATTTAGTGTCATGGAACCTAAACTGGGTTTCAACTAATATGGGGGAAATTCCTACAGATGAAAAGCTAGTGTAAACTGGACCTAAATTCAGAATTAGCTTTAAGTGTAACACAAACACTTGAATATCTTAAAGAATTAAGGAAGATTTACCACAAGAGAGATTTATCATTTGGCTTTTTAAGCAAAACTTAATTTTAGATCATCCAATCTTTATTTTAAACCTTAGCTAGCCAGGTCAACCAACTGTTCCTGTTACCTCAGACAAGGTGACTGGGAATTTTGTCTCAGTCTTTCCTCCAAATTGGCCTAGGGGAGCTTTTCAAAGAAAGAAAACTCCAGATCACATAACATTGCTTCTGCTAGATTCCCCGCTCAAATGTCCTAGGGCACATGTGCACAAGAGCTGAAATGAGGAATAAAAGGGCCAGATTCTCTCCTGTACTTTGTCTCCTTTGACTTTCCACCAGTCTTTTGGCACAAAGAAGCCTTGATGACCCTCTTGTAAGGGAATTCCTTAATGACTCCCTGGCCAGTGTAGATAGCTCCTATGGCAATCTATTCTTGGACTAAGGGGAGGCAGTATTTCTGTAGCATGCTATATTCACACAAATGTGGAAGGCTGATGAATCCTTGGGGACTATTGCTAGATGGCATAGTTTAGAGCAGTGTTTCTCAACCAATAGTAGGAGTACCCTAGAGAAGTCTGGGGGGTATGTCAACACAACTGAAATTTGGAGAAAAGTGAATTTTTGTTTTAAGTTTTACAGCGCTTTATTCTTTTTGTACGTTTTACACCCAAAAATTTCATCGCCTGCTGCCCGGCTATGATTAAATTGTTTAAACAAATGTGTTGCAATGGTAGAAAAAAATTGTGTGCGTCTGAAAACTATGTACTGGAGATACTTATAATTTTTTGTAAAGGGATACTTTATAAACAAAGGTTGAGAAACACTGGTTTAGAGGTCGTTGGGTTGCTCTAAAATACATGAAATTGGGGCCAGCATAGAACTAGAGAGGGAATCAAGAAATCGCAACCATCTCTCTGATGACTCCATTCCTTCTCTGCTGTGACGTGGCAGTCCTGCTAAGCAGAGATGGTAGGCCTACATTTTAAAAGACTTGCCAAAGGCTACACGCTACACATGCAGGTGGTGGCAGAGCAAGAAACACTTGAATAATTAGTTCTAAGGACTATAACTATCCACTACTAGAGCATAATGTTGCTTGTACAACTACTTCAAATCTCTGTATCTAATTAGGCCAACTTAAAATCATAATGCTTACCTTTCTAATGTACAGTAAAGTCCCTATCGTCCGACCTAAACGGGACCGGCACATGGTTGGATTACCGAATATGTCAGATGATACGGACTCTACTGTAGAGAGCAACGGAACAGCAGATGTCGCTCCTGCCACAGACGAAGCGCCTCTGGCAGAAGCGGCAGCAGCTGCTCCTAGAGAGTGACGGGGCAGCAAGTGGGGCCGTTCTCCCGTCCCATGCTGTATCCGACCCTGCAGCAGGGTCGGATAAAGGGGAGTGTCGGATTACCGGGTGTCAGTTAATCCAGACTCCACTATACTTTGAAATCTACATGTGTAAATAAATGATCAAAGATAGTTTTTTGAGGTGGTTCCTAAAGATTTGTTTACATAGGTAATTTGTTCTGGCTTTGGCCATTGATGGCCAGATGCCAGTATAGTTACTCTATATAAACTTACAGATTTCATGGCCAAAGGGAAATCTGTGATCATCTGTTCTTTCTATGTAAGAGCGCATAGAACTTTACTGGAGTAACTCCTGTTTGAATCAGAGTATATCTTTTAGAAAAAACATTCAATCTTGATTTTTAAAAAATCTCCAGTTGAAGGTACATAAGCAAAGCAACTATAAGAAGTTACCCTGTGCAGAAATGATGGTTCTTCATGATGTGTGTCCCTGTGGGTGCTCCACTCAGGTCTCAATGCATTCTCATGCCGCTGATTGGAGATTTTGCCTAGCAGTGCCTTCCCATGCCATGCATGTGCAAGTCACCGTCTTGCGCTGTTTCCGTCCATTAGATGCATGCACGATCCTCTCCCTGTTCGTTGTCTACCGCAAATCCAATAAAGAACTCCAAGTAGAAAAGAGGAAGGGAGGGGAGAGGAACACTCACAGGGACACGCACCTTGAAGAGCTATCATTACTGCATAGAGTGAGTAACTTCTCCTTCGAGTGGTGTCCCTGTGGGTGCTCTACTCAAAGTAGCAGTACCCACCATACAGCGGTAGGCTCTGGAGTCATTTATGTGAAGAAGCAAGGACCACATCTGTTACAGTGGTGGTAGATAAGGGTCCTTTCTGTAGAGCATAATGTTGTGCCAAAGTATGATGGAAAGACCATGTCGGTGCTCTACAAATGTCCTCTAGTGGCACATTATGTAGGAAAGCAGCTAATGTGGCCATCACATGTGTGGAGTATGCCCTAATAATCTGTGGTGGTTCTTTTCCACAAAGCTTGCAATCCACTTGGAAATCCATTGCACACAGACAACTGTTTCCTTGCGGGGACCAGACAAAGAGATGAAGAGTCTGATTTTCTGGTCTTTTGGTTCTCTCTAAGTAGAACGTGATGGCTCTTCTGGCATCTAGGGTGTGAAAGATGGGCTCTCTCAGAGAAACGTAAGGTTTAGGAAAGTACTTGGGTAAGTGTATGGGTTCATTTAGGTGGAAGTCCGATATAACTTTGGGGAGGAATGGGAGGAGGCCTGAGCATGACCTTATCCTTAATAGAGTACGGTGGGTGAGCCATGAGGGCTGCAGTTTTGCCCACTCTTCTCACAGATGTTATTGCCACTATGAAAGCCACTTTCATGGATAGGTATTGTGGTGGGGCCGTGGCTAGTGGTTCAAAGGGTGGCCTACTGAGTGTGTCAAGTACAAAATTCAGGTCTCAAGGTAGTATAGGCATGCATAAATTTGGATGTGTTTTCCACAAGCCTGTTAAGACGCACTTCGTCATTGGGTGTGCAAAGAGTGAGAGATTGTTGACTGGTTTGTGGAAAGCTGGGATAGCAGAGAGATGGATGTGTATTGAGCTGATGGAAAGGCCTGCATCACTGAAGTCTATCAAGTACTCCAATACAGTAGGTCTGGAAGCGGTGTTTGGTTGTAATTGACAAATGCCACACGACTCCTGAAAGCATTTCCATTTGTTTTGGTAGATGCATCTTGTGGAGGAAAGTCAACTATTTAGTAGGGTCTGCTTAACTCTCTCTGAACAGATAAGTTCATTTTGGAACCATGGAGGAGCCATGCTGTGAGTTTCAGGGTTTTTATGTTCAGGTGGTGGGTCTTGTCCCGATGTTGGGTTAGCAAGTGGGGACTCACGGGGAGAGGAATCAGTTGACTTTTTGATAGCTGTTGTAGGTAAGGGAACCAAGGTTGTCTTGGATATTAGTGAGCTATCAGAATTACTGCAGCCCGGTTGGAGTGGAACTTGATTACTCTGGAGAGTACGGGAATCGGTGGGAAAGAATAGAGGAGGGGAGTGGTCCAGCGAATGGTGAAGGCATCTCCCGCTGATCTTTACCCTGACCTGCTCAGGAACAGAATTGGTGGCATTTGGGGTTGGTTGCTGTGGCAAATAGATCTATGCTTGGGAATCCCCATTGTCAGAAAATTGAGGCTGAGTTTCCATTTGTGTTGTTCAGAGAAGTGTCTGCTCAGTATGTCAGCCCTGGTATTCTGTTGGCCTGATATGTAAGTGGCAGTTGGGGTTATCTGGTTCTTGAGGCACCAGTTTCAAAATCTGATTGCCTCTGCACATAATGAGCGTGATTGGGCACCCCCAACGACTGATGTAGATTAACATAGAGGGAATGTTGTCCATGAGGACATGAATGATTTTGCCCTTTATAAGGGGAAGGAAGTGAGTGCATGTTTTATGGATGGCCCTGAGTTCGAGGATGTTGATATGGAGGTACGTCTCAAGTTAAGACCATCTGCCCTATACCATTCTCGTGCCACAGTGGGCGCCCCAGCCCAGAAATGATGCATTGGTCAATGATGGGTCTGGGCAATGGAAAGGTACGGCAGCTAGCACGTTGCTTGGCGAGGTCCACCAGTCGAGAGATTGTAGGACTATTCATGGGAATGTGAGGCGCTTTGCAAAGCTTGTGTCGATTGGGGACGTAGACAGCTGAGGTCAGTTTTTGTTCTCCATAGTGTCGGAAGTAGCTGGCATTGGGGAACGAGCAGCCCAGGACATAGCAGGCAATGATCGTGCCGGGGAATCCTGCGGCACTCGAGAGCCTCTGTCGGGAATTGAACTAGCCCTCTCATGGGGCGCTCAATGTGCCCGTGTCTCTGGGGGCTTATCCCCTGGAGGTTGGAGGCATTTCTCCCAGAGGAGATTCTTCAGACTCATTTTGCAGTTTTTCCTCGCTCTAAGGGAACTGAGGGAGAATTGGTGTGCATCTAACAGACAAAAACAGCATAAGACGGCAACTGTTTCTGGGTGGCATGGGAAGGCACTGCTAAGCAAGAGGGAACTGAGGGAGAATTGGTGTGCCTCTAACAGACAAAAACAGCACAAGACAGCAACTGTTTCTGGGTGGCATGGGAAGGCACTGCTAAGCAAAATCTCTCATCAGCGGCACGAGGATGCACCGAGCCCTGCGTGGAGCACCCACAGAGACACCACTCAAAGAAGAAACAGC